AGACCCAGGATTGTTCTGGCTGGCAGAAGCTGCACCAATCTCCCAGGAATCTCAGGCTGCATTTTCTTTTCTCCCGGTTCTCCCAATCCTCACTTTGGGGGTGCAATGCACCCCTGCCCTATCTCCTGGAAGAGTTTTGGGATTAAAAGTGTTCTTTTATGTTCTGCAGTGTTTAAAATTTCATTAAAAAGAATAAAACTGTATCCATGTGGTCTGGACTGGTTCATTTGCATTGGTTAATTAAAGCAAATAATTGAGAAGGGGTTTGAGCAGCCCTTGGTTGGAGCTGGCAGCTCTTCCTTGGTCTCTTCATTCTCGGAATTTCTTTGAATTATTCCTTAAGCAATTCATGCAATCAGGATACACAGTGAGGAGAAACAGCATTCCTGCCCTGCTGGATTGGGAATCCAAGTCCAGTTCCTCAGAGGGATTGAGGGGACAGGAAGCTGAGCCTCAGGCTGGGATTTGGGAGCAGGAATTCAGTGAGGAGGGGAGAGGGGAGATCCCCCAAAGCTGGTGAAAGAAAATTCTGCTGGGTTTGGGTGCCCCCAGCCCAAAAAATGATCCTGGTTAAAGGGGACTGGAGAAAGCAGCGGGATGGGCTGGGGGGCTGTGCTGGAACCCCCAAACCCTGGACAGGGATGCTGGACAGTGTCAGCTCCATGGGGACACTATGGAAGGGCTCTGCTGGGATCCCCAAATTCCAGCTAGGAGTGCTGGGCACTGCCAGCTCTTTGGGACACTGCCTGATCCCAAGAGTTTTCCCCTCCTCCAGACCGGAGCCCGGGGGGGCGGGGGCAGCAGAGGGGGTCATGTCGCTCTGCGGCGTGAACAGACATAAAAAACACACGAGCGGCCCTCCCCTCCTGGACCTCCCCCCCCCGCCCCCTCGGGCCCCAGTCCAGAGGAGAGGGTCCCGGGGAGGGGGTGCAGCTGGAGGGAGGAAGGCTTTCACACCAGCCCCTAGACTGGCTCTAGAGCAGGAGGGGCTGGTGTCTCACAGGACAGCACAAGACTCTTCAATAACCTTGGTTTCCTGCCCTTTCCAGGATTTACCCAACAGCTGTAAAGGTGATCATTCCATGTCCCTTTCCAAGGAGAAATGAGCAGGACAAGTCCTGAGGGTTCACTTGGTCCATGGGCAGAGTTCTTCAGCAGAGTGTCAGGGCTGGTTGCACCTGCAGAGGGTTGTTTCCTGCAGGTGAGTGTTCACAGCCCAAAATCACTGCAGGTGCTGAGGCTGAGGCCACTTTTCTGGCCCAGAGCTGCACGGAGCCCTTGGTGACTCCCCCTCCCTGCCAGGAACGTTCCTTGGTGCTTCCTCAGTGGGTCCCAGCTGGCTGGGAATGCGGGGCATAGGAGGCCAGGAGCCCCAGGAAGGGACCCAGCACCTCCTGCCCTGGTGTTTGCAGGGAAGGAGCTGTGCCTCAGTGTCCTGCCCGTGGCAGGCAGCGTGCCACACCCACATCCCGGGGATGGGCGCTGGGATGGACGTGGATCAAGGGCTGCCTGCGGCTCCTCAGCCAGGGGCTGCTCCAACAGGCTCCGGAGCTGCTGCAGCCCGGACAGACCCCACCCACAGCCCAGAATTACCGAGGAACAGCTGGAACAGCTGGCCTTGCCTGGGAATGTCAGCGCGATGCGTTTGAGGAGGGGCTCAGGCAGCAATTCCCGGTGCCGACCTCCCGGAGCTCCTGCACACCCCCAGGTGTGTCCCAGCCCCCCAAACCCCTTCCCTTCCAGCCTGGGGACATCATTCCTCAGCAGCATTAAAGCCAAGGGAATCTTCCCCCCAGAAATGAAACCCCAAGCAATGCCCTCAGAGAGGCCTTTAAATAAAAGGTTAGAGTAGGATGAAATTTTGTTTGGATGAAATTTGGAGTTTTTCAGGGAGCCAGCTGGAACCACTGAACTGATGGAAAACTTTCACGGGTCCCACTGGTGGTGTGCTCCAAGGGCAGAAGCAATCCCAAGGTTATTGTCAGAGCTCCTGGAAAGTAGATGGAATAAAATAAGGTAATTCATCCTCATTTTCTGGTGATCAGGGACAGATGGAAAGCTGAAGAACAGTATCCTTCTCTACAAATTTGTGTACTCCCAAGGGAATACTGTTTGCGTTGTGACATAATTAGAAGCATGGGAAAAGAACAAGAGATTGCAGACAGGATGCTTTTTCTCCCCTCTTTAAAAATTCACAAAAATGACTGGTTTTGCAAACAAACATTTTTCCACTTAAGACTTTCCCACCAACTTCATTAAACAGAGGTACATCACATTTGAGACACCTGTTGAACAAAATAGGTATAGAAATACCATTGTTTCCTGCTGGTGGTGAGAAAAATGGTGCAAATCAAAATATTCTGTCCTTCCTCCACTATAAACTCACACAAATTCCTCTTTTTTTTTTTTTGTTTGTTTGTTTGTTTGTTTTAAGTTATTTTTAATATCCTCTCCCTTACATTTGAAATTTTTCAGTAACTTCTTTGGGGGCAACTACACTCTCATACCAACCAGTACTGCAGGACAATAACATTACATCATCTTTTTTCATGGCTTGTATTAAATACAGTACAGAGAGATCAAATTATGGCCAGCTACATGCCTTTGGTAAAATTAAAAGTCTGGTGAGATTACATTTCCTTTAAACTCAGAAAGCCACATGTTGAACTCATGTTGTGTTCAATTCCGTACAAACTTCTTCAAAGCAAAGTTAAACAGCTGTCACCCCACGCAAACAGCAATTTCTGAGGTGCTCCAGAAAAGCGATGAAAAGTTTGAACTTCAAAGAAGCTCTTCACATGCCTTAATCTCCATTAGATTTGTTTCAGACAGGGGGTAGAAAGTCTAGTAAATAGTCACAAACTTACAAATCCAAACAGTGATACCTGTGATAAATATTCTCAGTTTTTAAAAAACTTTCTGTAGTAACACATGTGGCTCATTTAAGCAACTGACGCTCTTCTCCTTTGAGGCGTTTTTTCCGGGGCTGTACAAAGTCATCGTCCGAGTCTTCGGTAAATTCTGGATTATCTTTTTCACTCTGGCTGTTTGGCTGTACAGGGAACTTTCTGTCAGGATAAAGGTTCCTTAGAAGATCTTCAAAGTAGGCTTCGAGTTTCATGCCAGCATCAGCCACTTCTGAGTCAGGCTGTTGGGTGAATTAACAACATCAGTGCATCGTGAAATAGCTTTGTGCTTAGATTGCATTAGGTCTTCTAGGTACCAACTACAAAAAAAAATCACTCATCAATAAGAATGGCTATGGAGCACAGGGCCCCAAAGAGCACAAAAATACACAGCGAGGGCCACCTATGAGTTTTTTTTCTCTGGCAGTTGACCACAAAAGCCACACTGCCTGGGAACTCAAAGCTGTATAAAGGTTCTAAGAACTCTTAAATCCTGACTGGGGTCAGAGTTGTGCTGTGCAACAGATATGGCCTCACGGTGTTAGAAACTTCTCTAGCTTACAGGTTTTTTTAGTAACACTGAAAATATTACTTGGTAGACAATGACTGTAACATGGAAGACTGAGCAGTCCTAAAGTCATCCGCAGCCACCACAGCTACCAGTTCCCTGAAGCTGGTACCACCAGTGTAGGAGTAAGTCCTTGCTCTCAAGGGTGACTGGATGAGAACCCCATGGAGGCCAGTTGGAGCAGCCTTTATTCCCACTGTAACTCTCATTTTGTGGTACACTCAGAACCTGCATCCCTATTTCACCACATGTTCCCTTATGTACACTAGGGGATAATAACAAATTATTGAAATCCTTAGAGTGAGTACAGAGCTCCCAGAATGGAAACCCCACTGAATTTAAGATCTGACACAAGCAGGACAAAACCAATTTTTAGATCATAATGCTCACCATTAACCTATATGATAAAAAATTGTCCTTGTCTTTAGCTGCTGTCAGGCCATTCAGCTGTGCTTGTTACCATCCTCCTCCCTTCTATGGAGAGATGTCCACTGCAGAGTTATCTCAGACACAGCAGTGTTAAATCTAATCTGTTTTCACTGCAGTCTCATCATCAAGTAAGTTTAATACAATAAATTCTTGTGTTATAAGCTGTACCCCCATTACGGTTATACTGAAAGCAACTAAGCCAACAAAGCTGATAAAATATGTACTTTTCTAACCTCATTAAATTCAGCACAGTTTTGGAAAATCAATCTGAAATCAGCCACAAAATCTTCTGGCTTTGTGTAGAATGAATTGGTCACTTCAAGTCTTTTCTTGATGGTTGACAAGTCCATGGGTTTCTTGATTATTTTGTAGTAATCAGGGACCTAAGTGGGTAAAAAAAAATCCAAAATGCAGTAATGGTCATAATTTATTGTTTCATAAGTCTTTAGATTTGAGGGAGTAGGCAAGATTTAGTATCATCATCAAAGTACAACTCAAAAGATTGAAGAATTGCACTTTAGCATACATGCAGACAGTTTCTGGAATAACAGTGATGTATGACAATTTGTTGGCTAAAATATACTCTTTCCAATGCCTATTTTAAAATCAAAGAGAAGCACATAAAACCTCCACTAGCTACATATAATAGAGAAAATGAGTTGGTTTGGATGTTATTTTAGGTGTAGTCAAATAAGCTATTTATTAAGTTTCATTCTCAGGACCACCATATGAAATAAGTCCTTTGAAATGGTGGCAAATTTCAGAGATATCAATGGTTTTCATACCCGAACTGTAGCTGTAGGATTAAGATTTTTTGTTCTTTAGAAAGAATAAGAAAGTAAATAAGAACAAAACCCAGTATATTTGTAATTTTTCCTGCTTTCTCCTAACTGGATTAATGTTTTTAGTACCTGAATTTAGTAATGCATGACCATAATATGAATAATCAATCTCTTGTGCCACTTCTTATTAGTAAACTCATTCAAATGGAGTAAAGGCTGCATAGGAACATACAGCTTTTTGATGAACTCTTTCCCCATTGACTTGTCTTGCCCACTGCCTTGTCATGAAGAACATCTTTTCATCTGATCTTTATAGCCTTGGACTTCTATTGCACCCAAGTACTGTTTACCATTTTAAACTGACAAATTTCAAGTCAGCAAGAGATTCAATTTTGTATTAGTACTACGGAGTACCCCAATTCTCAAAATCATGTAATGTTTAAAACTGCAAGATATATCCCAATGTACCTTCTCAGTGATGTAACTCAGGATATGAAGTTAGCAGTGTTAGAACTTACTTTTTAAAACTATTTTTGAAGTATTAAGTAAAATCAGTTATTGTGGAACTTTACTTGTAAATCCCCTGCCAACCCAATGCTTCAACTTTTAATTTTCCCCTTCAGACAGTTTGAATAAAATCAAACATATTAAATGCACTGAATGTCTGTGGAATTTGACTTCTGACAATGAACTTTAGAATGCCACTAGAAACATGCCAAATATGCTGCTAACATACAATAGAAAGAAGTGAGGTACATACTGTAGGAGGAACTGGATCCTGAAAGGCAGGACTCATTTCATGACAGTAGAGGTATAGCAGCAGTCTTTCACACTTCTGTGCCAAGAAAAATAGATATCCAGGTAATTCAGGAATCCTACATGGCTTATTCCAAAATCAGAAACTACAAAAAATACAGATCTCAGTATTCTCCCTTTTTCTTTGTGTATACAAATATGTTAAACTGGATATTGAGCCTTGAAAGAGATGCTAAAAAATACTTCTGTGATTTTTATGCTTGCTGATTCCTTATCAGAATCTTTGCAGGGTTTATAACTTAGATTTAATGCAAAATACAAGTAGAGAACATATAAAGAATCGTGTGACAAAGTATGTTCTCCACACACACACACAATTGATGGGCAATGTGATCTGTCCCAAGATCACAGAGGAGAACTGCATTGCAGGAAAAACTGTCTTAATTAATTATACTTGCGTAATTAATGCATTCCAAGGGTGGGGGAGTGGTGATGGTTGTGATTGATCTTGGTATACATGGGCCTGCAAAAGGGTACAAAATGCTCCTGGAGACTGGGCCAAATGGCAAAGTGACCTCCCAAGGCTGCAGGGCAGCTTCCAGGTAGATCCCACCCCTGCAGGGAGACACCCGCAGGGTACATCCAGCCCGAGGATGGGAACACTCAGGTTTGGACAGCTGAGTAAAAGGTGGAGATAAAATCCTAATGCAGCTCCATGGGTGCTTTGCTGCTTTGCAACTGTGCTTTCTGCAAACCTGCAGAGTTTCCAGCTGACTCTGTCTATGTTATAGCACTTCAGACCTGCTTAAATTATGCATTGCTTTGGCAATATTTAGATACTGTATCAGAAATAAATCTCATCATAATTGCCCACATAATCAGTGTCATACATCATTAGCCTGGGAGTCTCCTTCTGCTACTCTTCCATAAATGGTTCTACATGTAGAATAAGATGCCAAATGAAATACTAATTTCAGTGTATTTACATAAGTTGCCAGCTGAAAACAAGTAAACACTGACAAAGTTTTTAAGACAGTTAAAAATTGTTTCAGCTTCGAAGTTTTAAATAATAATTTTGTCCTTACCCTACGGTCTATGGGTGCCAAACCCACGGTGTCTTCCAATTTTCTTTTTTCAGAGCTGTGAGCGGGTTTATCACAGTCATATTCAACTTCTGGCTTGGACAGATCTCGACAGAATGTACAAATCCACTCTCCACTAAAGACAAACAGACACATTGACCTCAGTGAGGGAGCACTCCTTTGCCAGAAGTCTTTCCACATATTTCTGGGTAAATCCCTCGTCTGTGGGGTGGGTTTTCTCTGCATCTCTGTTGTTTTCTTGGTGGTGGTACAAAAGACTGCTGGCAAAAACACTTTACTACAACTTTGTTTCCTTTTAGTGGCACTGGTGTCATTAATGGTGTCCTAGCAGAAAGACAGACAGATGGACTCTACCTTTGTCAATACTGAATTTTTTCACTTGAATTCACAGGATTTAAGGATAGCACTATGAAGAGCCCTGCACAACCATAACCACAGAGAGACTGAAGGAGTCATATAGACTGAACAGAAGGAAAAGTGTTAGTCTTATATGGTAAGAACTACATGCCCTCTAAAAGTTTGATCTACAGCACATTACCAATCTATATAGATTACCATAGACAGGATTCTTTGTAAAACTGAAAATATTTCACTCCCTAAAATGTTCAGATAGTCATGATTTTACCAGTTTGCTTAAGACAATACTGGGGATTTAAAGGTCAGCGTGAGATAATTAGTTCTGCAAGCTATGTCTGCTGATTGTTGAACATAATTTATGACTTTGAGAGTTTTGAAAATAACTAGGAAGAGTCTATTTTTTACTATAAGAGAGGAACTGCACACTTGCAGGTGACCACCAGAGGGCTGAATCGTCACACAAGAAAGACTCCAGCAATAAGCAGTTCTGAGACCAACTGCACGTCTGTACCCAGAGGTATGTTTTGATAAAGTCATCATAAATGGGAAGTGATTTCTGAAGCACCCTATATTTCATTTCAGTAGTAAGGCAGAGGAATTCACAGATTTAAAAGAAAATCTTACTGTTTTCTATTCAGACTGATCCAAAGATTTTCACTATCTGCCAGTTTTGGCATGCAGTGGTGAATGATGAGCATTTTGCTTCAAGAAGTTTTACTTTCTGCTGTCTTAACTTCACAGAGTGATTTATGACAGTGTCACCTCTGCCTGGACTAGCCTTACAGAAATGTGACAGATACACAGGCTATGACCTAAAGATCTTGTGATACAAGATAACAAGGAACAAACTAGAGGACTGATGCATTAAAACATCCAAGAAGCAGGAAGAATGTGACAGGTTGGAATGAAGGAAAAAATGCAAAAAAATGCTTTATAAATCTACACGGGAACATTGTTTTAAACTGAAAGAGGGTCAATTCAGACTGGATACAACAAACAAGTTTTTCACAATGAGGACTGTGAAAAACACAGGCTCCCCAGAGAGGTGGTGGATGCCTTGTTCCTGGAAACATTGAAGGCCACCTTGGATGGGGCTTTGAGCAACCTGATCTAGTTGAAGATGTTCCTGAACATTGCAGGGGGGATCAAATTAGACGGTCCTTAAAATTCCTTTCCAACCCAAAACACCCTGTGACTCTATGAACCTATGAAATTGCTCTATCCACCTGAAACAGGAACAAAAAGCAACCATGAAAGGAGCAGACTGACACTGCTGACACACTAACAAATTATTTTGTGTGTTTGAAGGAACTAATGCTAAGAGACTAAAGTTTGTTTGTCAAACTTAGGGAGGAAAAAAAAAAAAAAGCAATCAACCCCACAAAGATGAGAACCAAAACCTGATATATCAGAAGTCAGGAGGAAACTTCACCTGACTGGGCGCTGGAGCCCAGGAACACAAAGCACCTTTACAGACCTGAACACCTGCCACCAAAGTGGTTTTTGGCTCTCTTGGCCTCAGACATCATCATCGCAATTTCCACTGAATGATCCAGTAAATATGAAACATTTTAAAGACTTGCTATTGAATATTTCATTTTAATAGAAACAAAATCTTGTAAAGCATAGTTATCTACCTACTTCAAGATTACTTTTTGTTTCCTTTCCAGAAAGACTATTTCTTAATTTAAATGCTTATTGTAACCTTACTGGTTTTCCTTATGGCATAAAGCTGTAACATAACATTGTTTTAATAAAAAACCCTGGAAATTGAAGTTTAAAAAGTAAGAGAGATATTTTTATGTGCCGTTTAAAGTGGCACATAAAAATGACATTTTATGTGACATTTAAAAGAAAGATATACTTCCAGAAGTATGCCTGTTCAGAGTAGCACAGAGATGATCAACGTGCTAATCTAAGTTGCTATCCAAATGTTTTACACCAGTAAACTATGCTGATATTTAATCAGAAAAGCTAATACTTATAAAAGCATTAACCAATGAGCATGTTATGACCAATGTTTTTATCCTCTAATAACAACAAGCTTATTGCATGGCATTTCCAAGCTGGGGCATTGACAAATGCCCTTTATTTTAATCAAAGACACTAATTCCAGAAAAAACTCCAGTAATGCTTATAACAAGAATCTACTTAGGACTTGACTTTAAAAGTCAAGAAACTGAGCAATGGTTTTGTAACAGCCAATCAAGAAAGCCTGATGCTTGTTTCAACACTGACTGTTATAAAATATGTCAGTTGCTACACATCCCATGCCTGGAATGTAGCCATGTTTATCACTGAAGTATGGTATTCAATACTATAGTAATTCAGATTTTTCCTGTAGACATGTCTTAATTTTTTTTTTTAAGTCATTATTATTAAGAAATTTAACTATTTTCAGTCACTCCTAAAACATTTTATGACACATTACTAATTCTGTGCCCTAGTTTTAATAAGATGCCCTAAATGTGATCTTGCTTAATTGTCAAATAAGGTAAGAGTTTTACTAGGTTTTGTAGAAAAATATACAATTAAGCTCAAGTTTCATGAAAATTCAGATTTTATCCAACTAGTAAAACTCCTGGATACAAGACTTTAAACAAGCCACTGCTCTTCCTCTTAGACTGGAACTTCTTACCCTGGGTTTCACAATACAAGTCTAATGTCTTTTAGTGCAATTTTAGATGGAATTGAAATAGTCAATTACCTTGGAAAGCTCATCAGCGTAGGGACATGACAAGAAAGATGGAATACTTTGGGACACTTCTCACAGCAAAGGAGCTTCCCTCCGTTTTGACATACAGCACACCAATCTTCATTGGGATCATCCTCTTTTCTGCCCTCGGCAGTGTGGGAGGATCCCATCCATCCTGTTTTCCCTGGGAATGTGCTCTCCTGCAGTGCCCCTGGCTGGTCATCTGTGCTGTCTGGTGCATCTGTTCTTAGCATAGCTTCCTCAGAAGTGGAATTGTGACTGGTATCCAGCAGCAAGGAAGTAAGTATGGACTGCAGGAAGAAACAAAGGAAGTCAGATTACAGTATTTATGTGAATTTACATGACCCTAAAAACGTGCAAACTGACCTGAATAACAGATTTACATCCCAGCAGCCATTCAACTTGCAACATGCATGCAGAAATTACTAACACTCTATAAAACAGGCAAATGAACACAAGAAATTAGCTATGAAAGACTATTTACTGCTCCACCAATAAAAAATCTATCTCTGATGGCCCAAAAATCTAGTACCTTGTTTATGGATATTCCTGCATTATGACTAGAAACACTTAATAGCAGCACCTCAAAATTTCATCTCTGCAAGTTATTCCTGGACTTCCCAGGTTTTTGAATGGATAAAAGCAGTCTGATCACACCATTTAATTTAGTTGGCAGTAGGGCTAGTTTGATTTTGAATTTCACCTCTTCCTTTTACAGCTTTTTAGCTTTCCCCTGAACCAGTTCCCAACAGAATACAAGTAAATTATTCTAGTCCCCATAAATACAAAATACCCTCTGAAAAGGGTATCTTTCTCTGAAGAGAAAGAAGATCTTTCTAGCTGTAAATATTACATTCCGAGGCCGGGATTCCTCCTCCGTCTCTTCCTTCACGACAACAATTGGGAAATCAAAGTTCTCGTTTGATGCACTTGTCTCCTGTTTAATTCTGATCGGCTCCAACATAACAACAGGGACTTTGTGTGTAGAGTCAGCTCCTGGTGGCCTGCTGGAGGAGCCAGAACTGTAAATGACAGGAAAGAGGCAGGGGAAAAAAGGAAATTTGGAATCAGAACTGGACACCTTTTGTACACTGATGCTTTGCAAGACCTCAGGATGTTCATCTACTTTGTTTCTTTGAATCCTGAGTAGTATTCCCTTTATGGAATGCAACATCCAAGCTTATTTCCTTTGATGTATACTGAAAAAGCATTACCAAATGGCAAAATCTTAAGGGTGCAGCTCCAAAACTAAAGAATTACTCATGGTCTGACCCATTACTGAAAAATTTGCAAATAATCTCAGTTTCTTTCAAATCATACACAAAAAAAGCACCTCCACTGAATGTTGTAAAGTACACAAAGGAATAAGGCAGATAATGTAAATACGTGTATTATCTTGGAAAACTTTCTGAGAGCCTCACAACTCCACCAAAATTTGGACCCTACTTTTAGAAATATATCTCTCTCTCTTCATGTATTTAGTCCTAACAGGATGAGAATGGACAATCAAACTTGAAAATGCCTGCTTATCTTTTTAAATAAAAATGAAGAATTTAAATCTAACAAAATTAATTCAAACAGCAGCATATCAAATCACATTTTTAAATGCAAGTAAAGACTCTTCAAACAACCATTTAAAGTGTTAATTTAAACTGTTTATAAGAATCCTTCACACCATGTAAATGGAATAGAGCAAAAGGTATTCCAGAATAAAAAGCACCTGCAAGTAGGATGAATGTCATCTGATTTTATTCTGCATGAAAAATTAATCTCATGTCAGATATATGCTCTAATTTATTGCAATGCATTAATGGATCTGCACTCTTTAAACAACACTGTGTAAATATATTTGTTCATTAATATTCTATCAGTAAGGGATACAAACATTTGTGTAGACTTTCAGTAGATATCTAGTGATCACTTAACTGTATTGCAGCAGAAAATGCTTAATAAACTTCTTTGTAGCATCAGTTCCTTAAATCTGAAGTAATTTATAGTTCCATAAGGGCTTTCAATATGCAGCTTTTTCCTTTAGCCAATTTTTCTGAACTTAAAACCTAATTTATAAATGGTATTCTTTTAATAACACCAACCTAGCCATCATTTACAGAGTCTTTAGATGTTCCATTACTACATTACAAATGAAATTACTGCTTTTAGAATGCAAAGAGTGCTTAACAACCATCAGGCCTGACCTGTTAACAGGGAAGGTGAGACAAACCGACATCTTTATGCATTAAAGAGAGAAGAGACTGAGGCATGTTCTGTGGAGGTGGAAGTTACGTTTTCTTCTCTCTCACTCTTTCCTTACCTCTCTCTGCTCCCAACACTGGAGGCACTGGGTGAACGAATTGGAGGGTGTACGTTTGTTACACTGATTCCTCCTAGGAGAGAAGGATCAGATCAGAACAGAACACAGGCCTGTGGCAAGTCTGAGATACAACTCAGAGAAGTACAGGAGTTTTGGGGAAAATTTCTCCTGCAGTGCGAAATACATTTTCATGAAAGGGTGAGAGGCATGAGCTAACAGAGGGAAAGAGGACTAAGCCTGTGACACGCAAGCAGGCTGATGGGTGAGCACCTTGCCTGGCTGACCTCTCAACCTGGTCACTGCAGGCAGTTTTGTCTTATTAAATTCAAGCAGATCTCTCAGGAGAACTGCCAGGAAACTCAGAACTGGCGAGCAGGAAGAAGTCTGGGGGACAGATGAGAGAGACCAAAGGTCTGGGACCCAGAGAGACGAAAGCCTAGTGAAGAAGATTGCTGAGCAGCAGCCCTGAGGGGCCTGAGTGGGGTCAGTGCTGCCTGGGAGTGCACTGCCCGCTGTCCCTGCTATCCTGCAGGAATATGGGACTGCCGCATGGCACGAGTGCTCCCTGGGAATTCCCACCCACACAGCCTTCCCAGAGCTCAGGTCAGAAAATGGGAGTGAGGAACAGCTGCCACCAGCATGGTGAGCCACCAGCACGGTGACAGGAATCTCCTGGATACTCCAGGTCCCATCACAGTAACTTCTCTGGTCATCCTGTGTCAGTGCTGCACTCAGTGGTGCCACCCAAGGCACCATTTCTAGTCTGCTGTCAAACACTCTCTCACTTTATCAAATACTTGTCTCTTACCCCAGCTGCTAGGTTTTAGTCTGGTGTACACCTGAGAGTGTCACTTTCCTATGGATTTCTATCTAATTTGCTAAAATCTACCCTTTCTTTTCCCTCCCTGTTTTTAAGATCTGGATGCTTGACTTTTGATCACAATGCTAAAATATTATTTCAATTCTACCTCCTACTCAGGCTTCTACAACTTTGCGTTCACTTTCTTATTTCTCATGTTTAATACAAAACAGAGTTAATTCTGATGTCAATGTTAACACTGCCACATTTGATATTTCAATTGCACCACTTAAACAGAAAATTGCACCACATTCAATTACCTGAGAGGCCTGGTGATGGTACTGAGGAATTTGGTGACTGCACAGTCCTGTTTGAAGGGGGTTTTGGCTGATTCTGCTCTGCAGTGCCATCCTTCCTTACAGCATTATCCAGTGTGATGTTTCCTGAACAATCAATCTAAAAGGTGGGGAAGCAAAGGGAAGCAGTTAGTGTTGAGAAAGGAAAAATCCCCTCCAAAACAACAAAACCCAAAAGCCTCTGCCATGCTGTTATTTTGAAAGTGAAAATGAATTTCACCAAAGTTTACCCATCCAAAAGTGAGATGGTTACTTTAAAACATATATTCTTGCTTTCCCTAAAAAGAAAATGAAATAGCCAAATCAAGACCAGGCTCCATTTTAAGAACAGATAATTCTGTAAGTACCAATTTTTCACCACAGGCTACAGAGAAGGCTTAAATCAAACACTGGCTTAAATCAAGCTTTCACACATTGAAGTAAGTTTATCTCCACACCTTCTTTAGACTTGCTCACATTAAATGCTCTCAAAAAGACAATATGCTATACACAAACTGCCCCTTAATCCATGGGTGTTGAACAGGACTGGAAGGAGCTCAAAGGACAGTCAATCCCATCTGTCCCGCATACCGTCCGGACAGGAGCCATGCATACTGACTCAAAATGGAAACAGCAAATCAACACTTGTTCTTTCCACCATGGCTCAGGCCAGATAACAGAACTGTATTCCAGGGGCTCCCAATGCAGCATTCTAACTTTCCATAAAAATGTCACATTCTGGTTTGATAAGGAAGACTGACTTTTGGAAATGTTTGGTTTCTTCCAATATGTTAGGCAGTTATGAGGGGAAAAAAAAAATCACCTACAACTCAGTAACTCCAACATGGACCTCTGGCAAACATGTACCATTCAGAAGATGGTATAAAAGAGAAACTTAGAAGGTTAAGAAATTATGATCTTACTATGCTCTTTCTATCACCAGCTCACAGGCATGTTAGAGAATATATGAAGAAAAGAAGTACCCAAAGGAAAAGATGTAAGGAATATATCCAGTATGCTGACCAATAACACCTACCGAAGATAGTTCTTTCAATAAGTTAAAAATCAATTTAAAAAATGTTAAAAATCTACCAGAAATGCCATCAGCAAACCACTGCTATCTATAGACACTGGTAAACGAAAGCTAAGCTAACACACTTTTGTAAAGATCATTATGAGGGCTGCAGAAAAATATGCAGCATATAAATAAACATGTCCAATTAAAATTATAACTTGTAATCCTACTTTTCTTAGTTGTCCTAACAGCTGTCCCCCAGAACGGTTCTGAGTATTTCCAGCAACGTGCAGGCAACTCTGCATTGCTTATTTCCTAGAATTGTCTCATTCTGACAAACAGAATTTCAGTCTAAAAGGTTTCTATTTCTCACAAAGGTTAAGACTTCAAAATAGAATCTGTAAAAGATTGCCTCTGTGTTACACTCACATCAGGGAGAGATGGCAGATAGTAGGAGCTACCCACTGGGGAACTCAAATCTATCACAGGGGGACCGTAATTCTTCCCATCACAGCCAGCAGCACTGGTGACTGTGGGGCTGGATGGAGTCGATGTTGTGCTGCTTGCAGTTGAAGCGGTGGATGAAGCTTGTCCACTACTGATCTGCCACTAAAAAGAAGAGACAAAACCCCACAATTTAGCATTTTTTTTCTTTGCAACAGGTCACATCTACTGAATATACCGATAAAAGCAGCAGCTTGGTTCAGAAAGCTGAATTCAAACACAAAATTTCCTGATTTACTCTGAAGTTATCTCATTTGAAGAAACAGTCTCACAAGACAACGGAAGATGACAAGTAGTTGAAAACTATGAATAGAAGAAATTAATTCAAATTCTTAAATTCAAAGCTATACCTCAGTGTTAAGTATATATTAATATTTCATGCTTCATTGACAGTGCTGTGGAAGAAAAGTAACAGTTTTTGCTAAATAAAAGCATTATAGGTAATAGGCTGAATGCACAACTGCACCAGTGTTTTACCAAATAAACCTGCATGCCTTGAAGTCTTTGATGTTCCCTTAACAACACAAAATCATTAAGAATTTGAAATGCTGACTGGATCTCCATCCCCATATACATTTAACACCATGATATGAAGTGCACAGTCAAATTTCAAGACCAAATTTCTTTCTCATTTAGATGTATGCAGTTTTCAATGACTTTAATGGAATTTCCTGGCAACTGCAGGCAAAATCTGACTCTGCTCAATTCCTTTTTAGTCAGTCATTCTATTTACTGGCCTCTAGTTTCAGAAAGACATTACTGAATAATGAGATATCTTGAAAGAAAGGCTTGTAAACAGGCCAGTCTTCAGAGGCACAGAACAGAAGTGACTTATTTTTTATTCTCACAAGTTTTCTTAGACATTGTTCAGCTTTCTTCCATTTAGCTGAATTAGTTCTCTGACATCATAAGCATTGCAAACATAACTGGTATTACACCACTTTTTGGGTCACAAATTTGATTCTTTCTTGCTTACCTGCACCCAGCAACTCAGGTGGTAATAATACGCTTTTTAGTAAAGATGAGCCTTCCTACACACCAAGAACACACACAAGGTGTTTGCTTCTGCCCCAGTTCAGCTGCTGATCAGCTGGGCATTGATCAGTCTCATGCAGCACAGGTCCCACAAATGTGGACTCTTTTCTCCCCTCACCTCTAAGAGTTCAGATTTGCCATACTCTGTGGAACCATGGCAGCTCCAGATTTTTAGTCAAGGTTCTACCTGGTTCCTGGTGAAGTCACTACTATCAAGATAAACAGGAATTTTCTGATTTGTCTACTCACTGTCTGCAGTGTGCAGACCATGGCCATGCTAAGTTTTGCATAAATGACCAGAAACCACAGCAACAGCAAGTAAGAGAATGAAACACCTGCACAGCACACACAGTGGCTCACCTCCCTAATGCTTCAGCTGCTTAGAACTGTCAAAATGAAAGCAACTTGACAGTTATCTCATTTAAAAAACTAAGGGCATATTGTCATAGAAAAATAATGTAATTGAAAAGTACTCTATAAGTATAGTATAAAAGATGATATAAGGCACATTTGATGTTTAATTTCTAAATGGAGAGTGAAAAGGGAAAGACACTCTACCTGTTTTATAGCTTGCTGTGCCAAGAATGCCATTTGCAATGGGTTGGGCTTCACTGCTGGCCTTGGTAGGTTCTGATTTTGGGGATATCTCATCTGTTGTGCAGGAAGAGCTGAACCATTGGGCTTGGGATTATGATTCTGAAAATGAATCAAGCGTGGAGGTGCCTGCATAAAAAAAATAAAAACAGTTCTACAAGTTAGCTGAAATCTGTTCTATATTCCATGCATGTTTTACTAAATGGTTCTTTAAAACTTCTGAAACTCCTCATAAATTATATGCAAATAAATAGTACCACACCATTTATCTGAATGATGAAAAGCATTGAATTTCAATGTCAAAACCTAGTAGACAGTTTTGAATTACTTTATTATATGAAGAGACATAACAAGAGCCAGTGAGAGTGTTTCCAACTTTGAAAGATATGTGAGAGAATCACTGGGTGTTACACAAAATAGACACAGGAAAAAAATTAATTACATTAACTTTCTGATCACTTGACAAAAACACAAAAAGGTTGCTAAGCACTGTATATGGCTGGATACAAGAAGACTTTATTTTTTCAAAGAATAAATAGAGGCTGGGTGCTACCATGCATTTTGCAAGGCAAGTTTAAATGCCCACTCACTTCTAAGTAAAGAAAATACCCTCTAAACCATCTACATAGCTACGTGCTGAAGGTGAAGATATCTGAATTTCTGGATCTAGGTTTAAGTGCTTTCCTTTTTTTCCTATCTTACTTTACTTTCTCCTTCAGTGCCATGGAAAGAACAAATTCTGCTAACAGTCCTGACTTACCTGATGAGAAGCAGGAGGTTGTTGCATGGCTCCTGGCATTCTTGGGCTTGGAAGAACTACTGGTCCTGCTCTGCGCTGAGCTTGCTGCCTCTGAGCCAGGACCTGCTGGTGCATGTGCTGGAGGCGGAGCTGAGCTAAACTGATCTGTGTGGGGAACTTGGAGAGCTGGTTGGGAGGTAAGCTGCCTGCTGGCTGTAAGTTTGCTTCCATCACAGGGCTCTTGGGCATATGTGGAGAAGTTTCCTTATCTTCAATTACCAAAGAACCTTTGAACCAAAATAAATAAAATCAATACTGAAGTATGGCAGTTAGCAGAAATGTCATCACACTGTCAGTGCCATGCGGTCTGATTAGAACTCAAAAACCATTTCTGAAGTAACTTGTTTATTCAGACTTTATTTTTTCTTCACTGGTTCTTGTATCTAGCTTATCTACAGAAACTGAACAAGCCTGATCATAAACAAAATGGCCTGAAGGCTATGATTTCTGAAACTAGATAAATAAACATGATTTGGTTTTATCTATCACATAAACTGTTACAGGAACCCCAGTGCTGGATTATACAAGTGCCATTTCTATTGTAGCACTTTTCAGATTGTAAGGAACCATATTTCAGAAGTTCATGAAATAAACATACACAAGAAAAAGAGCCCACCAAACACAGCAAAAGGTCAGCTCATGACAAACATCTCAGCTGAGCAGCAGTTCAGAGTTATCACCACACAACCTGGCAGCTGGTTTCTGGAAACATGTTTCACTTTCTACTCCTGTTTCTAAGAAAATTATTTATAAAGAAGGAACTGGGAGAATTTCCTTGCTACCATCCAATGTCCTCATGTCTGGGAAAAGGAGTTTGTGTGCCTTAAAGAACTGCCATAACACTTTCTTCCTCTGACATAGTAGAGAATCACACATTTGCACCTCTGTACACTGAGAGAGCACTTTCTGATGAAAGGCAGAAAATATCCCACAGATATCTCACAAAGTCTTCTGCACCCACTCAGATAACAGTGGAGAGAGAAAGGAAATACAACTACAGTCAAAATCCTGAAAGACCCCTAAAGCCTTTAAGTCCTCATGCTAAGCTGTTGTGTTCTCAGGGTGCTTATCATCATTGGCTGAAAGCTGTCCCATGGGAAAGGACCTGGGAGTGCTGGTTGACAGCAGGAACCCTTTCTTTGGATGTGAGATAGGGTTAAAAACTGTGTTCCTTGTTTCAGAAGCCAGAAGTTAGAAGTATTGACCAGAAAAGTGAAAGCTGCTATTTTCACCATCACATATACCTTTCAAACACGCTAAGTTTGTTAATACTTTATCATAGTATTCATAAATAATACTTTTCTCCATGCAATGCACTTTGAATGTTTTTCATGGTTAGGGAAATACATTTAACAGAGTAAATGAAGAAATGAATAGGGCAGAGGCTATCATCACAAAAAGAAAGCTGCTTTCAAAATAGGATCAAGACACCAAAGCACCAATAAAAATCTATCATACCTAGATTGAAAATATTCTGAGCCCAGAAGCTAGGATCACAGTGGAACTGGATGGTGTTGTTAGTCACTGGGGAAGGATCACACCTGGCTCGGAGGAGATACCGTAGTCGATATGTAATCTAGAACAAGAACAAAAACAAGGTTGTTTTTTTTTTTTCCCTCTGGGGCCAGAGCCATGTATCTGAACAGCACAAAAAATCCAAAAATACACCCCCTCACACTCCCCCACACACCAAACAAAGCAACCAATCAAAAAACCCACTAACAAAAACACCCCTGAACAAGCCCCTAGAGAACTGAGGTTAAAGACAGAGAAACTTGTTCAAGCTACAAATAAAGAGGTATTTTAACATCCTTCCCTTATTCCTAAAATAGTTTTAAAAAGAAGTTAACTACAGCCTAAACAAAAAGAACAATTCTTCCCTGTAGAAATATATATCCCTCTAAAAACTTGGCCATTATATTCAATGACTCTAGCTACTTGCAAATGAAGTTCAGATTTACATAACCGCTGATTTTTTTTTCTCCCACGAATCTATTTTAGCCCATTTATTTTTCTTTCAAAGTATGCCATTCGTTTGGCAACAAGTATGATCACAGGGAATTTTCTTTTGTACTTAATTTAAGTTTCCTTCAGACAGCCAAAGAACAGATTTTTATAAACAGTCTTTGAAAAATCAGATTCACAGATGTTTTCAGATCTTTCCAAATGCCTTGGTTCCAAAGAACTGGACTGTGATTACACAAGAGAATATTCTACCAAATGCTCACAATTTATCTAGTTCCTAGAAAGAAAATGTTGTCTCGCAGTTGTTTCACTAGAAATGTCAGGAACTGATATACCAAAATAAAACAGGCACTAAGTTTAGAACCACACACAGCAGATTCTGAAAAAAAAAAAAAAACAACCAAAACAACTTGGAGCGTTCAACCCTTGTTTTTCTTGAGTGATAGATTATTTCCTGGAAAAGAGATATACTTGGCAAAATCATCTTAACTGTTTAAAATTATACAAGTTTTTTTCTTACAATTTTAGGCAGGTCAGTTCAAGACCATACTCAAAAAACCATTTAACAAGACTCAAGATTTTTAAATTACCATGGAAAAATTTTAAGGGCATTATTATTATTTTGGATCGAGATTTCCTTAGGATTTTTGTGTACGCTACCAGAATCAAGTAGATGACCCTACAGAAATTCTAGGCTTTTATCCTGTTACCATCACTGGTCACACACAGTATCTGTCAGAGTTTGCTCTACTATTTTCCTACTGTTGTGCACACGTATGTGTTGGATAAACTCCTGACTGCTCACCTTGTTAGTAACAGTGAAAAGTGCAGCCTGAGAGCACAGCCCCCGAGCTCCAATGCTGCCCTTAAGTCTGATGGGCATTCCTTCCTCTCTCCTGGGTGTGCTGGAGCAGAAGTTTCACAGCTCATCTACACAAAACGCCTCGGAAATAGATTTTTCCAAATGCCCACAGATGGGTTATCTACTCAACTCCCAGGCAGCACCAACTTTCTAAAGCTCAATCTGTTCTTTTGAAAAATACTTTTCATTTGCTGAGGCCTTCTGGGCTAAATGCTCCTTTCTTTCAGCTGCCTAATGTTTATATGATTAACATGCCTGAAACACAACTTGTTTTCTTACTCATGTAGCACAGTCTTGATGGCAACACTAAGCAATTATAAACAAAATGACTCAGTTTGATGTCCTTTTTCTCTATTCAATTAAAAAAATACGACTGGCTGAGGCAGTATAAGGCAGATCAAATGAATGTAACTACTTGAAGTTGATAAAAACAAGTAATATTCCACTATAGCCTGCAGTATCAATAATGGGTATCCAAAAAAACCAACCAACCAACCAAAACCACCCCCCCCCCCCAAAAAAAATCCCCCCCCCACCACCAAAAACCAACAGCAAATCCAAACCCAAACAAACAAACCCTGGTAGTTTCTCAACTAACCAATGAAAAAATAAAGAAAAAAACTTTGTGAAGCTGTTTATAGGAACTGGGGGGAAAAAGCATCTAGCATCTTTCCTCACATTGCCCCAGACTTCTGCTAGCACGCAAATACAGTCTAGTCACCTTTGGAAAAATCAAGGTAAGCTTTTGGGCTGTTTTTTTTTTTTTCCTTTCAAATTTTCTAGGATTTCTGTCCATCAGGAGCATTCAGCTTAGTGAGACAACATGCATTCAGATCTTAAGGCTCATTACAGCAATGAAATATTTAGCTTTGTAATTGTTTGTATGGACAAACAAAAACCTTAGTTTAATTTTTATCAATTTTTAAAGTCTTTCAGTGGGAGATGAACCTGACAGAACAAAGACATACAATAGTATTTACATTAAAATGCTAGACACCAGACACTGAGATATACAAATACTGTTTTTCATGAACTCAGGTGCTGTAGCAAATATTGTAAAGAAGCACAGTCATGATGTAGGACACACACCATTTTTTCCCAGTGTTTCGTGGCTTCATGGTTTTCAGCCGAAAGAAAAGGAGTTGTTTCTACTTCTGCAGATATAAATAGTTCTATGGCATTGTAACAGGAGAGAACCATGACCAGAAAGCTAAATTAATAGAAACATTCTGTGTTTATGTTTAAGAGAAAACCATGGAAACTATATATAAATATTCCAATTAGTAGAAAATCATTAAACATTCTAATACCCTAGTACTCCAGACAAGCATGTGCATGCATATCTAACTTAACTCTAGGAGAATGGAGAGATCTGTCTTCCTAACCTTACCAAACGTTTACTGTACAACAGTGCTGTGCTGCTCCCACTGGAAACTGCCCATTTGGAAAAATTCATGACGTGTTCCAGCTGTTTAGAGAGACCTGCCACTTCCTGTTGTTGCTGTAGAAGTTTAATCCTATGCTCTTTTGCCAGAGTCTGCAAGTAGAAAAGCAGTTAAAGTCAAAACGGTCAATTTATAGTTAAAAGGCATTAACTTCCTACTTGTAATTCATAATGATCAAGTGGTTTCACTTAGCTCCTCTAAAAGGGACTCCTGCCTTCTGATGCAGCTATCAAACAGAAAAGTCAGTACACATTTCCTGAAGAAACACCTTCTGTGCTAAGGACACATTTTTACATATATTTATATCTATATATGTGTGTGCCTCTCTACACACACAAAACACTCTCTTTTAAAACACAATTGAAGATAATATTTTCCCAGGTACCCATTCTAGACAATTCTCAATGATTTGCTACTGGATTACTGAATTTATGAAAAAATCTGATACAAAACTTTTCATGCATGATGTGTGGAATTATGAATTGTAAAAGCATGGAGAAAGAAACTGGCCACCCCTCAAAAACCAAATTTTCCTCCACCAAAAACCCCACTTGCTCAAGCAGCTTGTATAGGATAACTCTCCACTTTGGAATCATGACAGGACACGCACAGGGGACTTATGCTAGAAATTTACTGTAATGTGAAAAAAACTATGTAAAAAAAATTAAGATTGAAATTTTTCTTATTATAGAAATGAAATTACCTCCAACTGATGAAGCAGAGCTTTCCCCTTTTTATTTATTTCTACCATCAGTGTAAATATGGCAACTTTAATATCCTGTTCCACCTGCTTTTGATTCTGATTCACTTCAAGAATTCTGTAAGTAAATAGTATAGAAAATAATGTTCGTTAGTTCACAAACCCATCCTCTAAACAGTATTTAAAAAAAAAATCTGTTGCTTAGACTACAATACTTCTTGGTCATATGCACCAATTAATACATGTATCATCTGATACTTATAGCCAGGAAAATTACTGGGAGAAATAGAGGAAGTAAGAGTAACCTGAGAGAAAATTAATTAACTGGTGGCAAACTCTAATGCCATAACTCTGACATCTGTCACTGATAAAAATTAAATGCTCACTGTAATTGAAATTGTTGATTTTCAGAGTTGTGGCACTTTTCTGGAATGATCCATGCTGATCAAAACTGCTTAAGTTTAATTTCCATCTAAGGTAGAATGGCACTGATTTAGCTGTTTCAACAATAGTGCACAAGCTCGTAACAGCAAAGCTTAATGTTTTATTGGGGAAACTCTACTAAAGAGATGAAGGAAGAGTTCAAATCATCCTTGGCATCCCCAACTGTGCTGAATCTCCCTGGGTACTGCTGTCCCTGAACTCTGCTGAAGGAGCAGCCACAAAGGCTTGCTGCAGATTGCATTTTACACATTTATTTTTCTCCTAGGTTTGTAGTACCCAGTGAATAGAGCCCCAAGCATAAAAGTACTATGTAAATCTTCAAATATGTGTCACAAACATTAGGAAAACATGAGTCATATCCTTGCACTTTCTAAGAGGGATCTACACTAAGAAAATTAATCTGCTGATGGTGGGAGAGCACTTAAGACTGTCTTCTACAGTCTTTATTGCATAAGTTGTTTTGCTTCACACAAGCCACTGCTGCCCATTAAGTCCACAGGCTGAGCAGAAGAATTACCAAACACAGCCAAGCATACAGAAAACAGGCACTACCGTGAACTTTAGAATTCCTCTTTCTGGAAGCATAAAAGGAGGGAGATACCAAATACACTAATTTAAACATTTCAAGAAACTATAGTATATGTAAAGTTGCCTTCTGCCCGTTTTAACCTCATAATCTAATACAAACCTGTTATGGATCTGTTTCCCTGTATATTTTATGTACTTAGTCTTCTCCATCAGTTTGGTGATTAGTGTCTCAATGATAAATTTCTGGTTCTGAAAAGCTTCTTCTATAAACTGGTACCTGTAGTAAAAAGCAGTGAGGATTTACACATGTAAAATGTGTTATATACTTGCTAAAAAGCAGAGTGACTTACAAAATAATACTTCTTTAATTGAAGAAAGGGGCTGCTCAAATCCAAAATTTAACTCTCACATGGAAACATATGTCAGCAAATGCTTATATATTTCATTTATAGTATATTTAATTTTATAGTCTATTTCCTGTCACACTGGGGTAAGAATTTACGGTTTTCATAAATACAAAATAGCCTGATTTTAGCAAAAGATAAATTAATGCTTTGAGGTAGTCATCACTTTGAATGTGAAAATTCAGGTAAGCTATTACTTAATGTAGGACAAGGATGCAGAAATAGAAGAGATTGCTGAGTTACTAGAAGTTGGCAACATTTTAAATCAAAGAACCAAAATCTTTAGCAATCTGAGGAAAAAAAGAGGTAGCACATTATTAAAGGAACATAAATCCTGAGAAAAGGAGAATAAAAGAGGAAGACTGAAACTCTGCAAGAGCAATGCTTGGCCTATTTCAAGGAGCAACAGTGGCCAACACTTCTCCACTACTGATGTTCACCTAGTCAGGCAAGCAAGCTCTTTGGGTGTTGCATCAGGTGTAGCAAGTATATTAATATTTAACCAGAGTGCATATGTCCCAAAACATGACTATATGTGTAAACCAGCAAGATTTTTGCCTTGCACGCAGAAGTTGTATGTAATTTTGCTTTTCAGCTTCAGTGACCAGTAACAGATGACCAAAAGAATAGCAACATGAAGATTTGAGAGTTATAGTGTTGTCAAAGTTACAGCATTAGCCAAACTGTAGGTTAACTTTTCTTCTGAAAGGGCTCATCATAGAAAAAAGAATTCCCATTTTCTCCATTCCAAAACAGTTTGGTAATGTTCTTATATAATCTTGTTGAAGGACAAATGGAGAAATTACACATAAGTGTACAGTTGCATAACACAGCCCCTGTGTTTTCTAAGGACTCTCTGAAGAGCTGCATAGCAACAAATTCTGACCAAATAGCTTGACTGTAAAAAAAGTCTTGTGCTTAAGCCACCAGGTTAACAACTGGAAGAATTGGGTTTTATTCTAAATGTAACACACTCTCATCAGTCACATTCTTTGGGATACAATCTTTGGTTTTTCGTGAGTTTCATTTCTGAGCAGCAAATTTTATTCCACCTGACTGTGTTCCATACAGCTAGAACCAGATAGTCTGAATCTACTTCAGGCTGCCCTCCTGTAGGTGAGATGGATAAAATATACACTGTGCTTTGATACCTGTGCTCTTTGTGCTCTAGTAGCTGACAGTCTCGGCAGGTCAGCTTGTCACAGGTCTCACAGTACAGCTTCAGCTGCTCCTTTTTGTGATAAGGGCAGAACACTGGTCGCTGACTGGTCACACCAACTGCCTCTGTTGAATAAAGGAAGATGTTAGTACAGTCAACTGAACTTGTTCAAGATTTGCATTCTCCTGTTTTTCCTTAGATGTACAAGTGTGTATCAGGTCACTCACCAAGACTGTAACAGCCATAAGCTCAAACTGCAATGTCTTGCTCTTCTTGCTCAAGCATGGAGCTAGCACCCTCTCTAATGGAAAATGTCTAGAACCTATTTTAACATCATCTCTTCTAGCCTCACAAAACTATTTACAAAAGGAGTAGCCAGTACTGCTGCAGCTGCAAAAGACATTGCACAAACAACAAGCTCCTTTCTTAAATGGAGATGAGGAGGTGGTTGACTCAATTCTGTCTTCTTTCTCAGCTGACTTGGTGGAAAGGGGTTTGAAGATATCAAGACATGGACATTCAAAGTGTAGAACATACAGAATATAATAACCAGGAGATATGAACTTCCCTTCAGAACCCCATTCTAAATGTGTGAGAAGTCTCACTTCAGTTTCTAGTGTGCAAATATCAAAAGGTGTGGGAAACACCACCAGATCATAGAAATGGAATTTGTTTCTTTAAACAATTTAACTGACAAAGCCTGATTTCCTGGAAGTTAGGTTGGACACTGAGTTCATAAGGATTATACAGCCTGTAATGAAAACTGGCTTCACACTGCAGCCTGTCCTTCACTGAAGATCAAAGAGATCTATTTTTCATACCCATTCATTTACCTCTTTTCCAAAAATTTGGAAGAAGTTATTTTCAGATCTTTATCCTCTGGTCAGAAGTCTTTCCAACTCACCAACAAATTGCCTCCCAAAGAGGCCTGAGTGCACTGAGACCACTCCTACCACCAAATCCTGCTCTGCCTAACAGTCCATCAGCCACTTCTACCCACTTTTGTCCTCTCTTGAAAGTACATTCAGTACTCACTTTTGATTAACCATTTGTGAAAGTGGGATACAGAATACAGTGAATATCTTCAAAGTACCATGGTGGAAAACAGCCTTTGAGCAATAGATTACCTCACAGTACTAGATAGGGTGGAAGGAAAAGAAGTATCTATTCTAATACATTTATTTAAAATAATAGATAACAATTGCTAAAAATTATGTATTACAGGAAAAATCGTGCAATGGATGTATTAGAACCAGTAGAATGTTTGTCAGTATCCTGTAACATTTATTATCCTCCTACAAGGACACTAGAAGACAAGACACTGTGGGGGAAAAACTGAAACAAAAGAGGTTCTCAATGAACAGAAAAAGTCAACCTTTTCTACCACAGAGTAGTCAAGATTTCTCAGAGAGGCTGTTCTGTACACCACATTAACCATTGCTGGTTCCCAGGACCCAAAGGGCTAAAGCCCTGAGCAATTGGAACTCAGAACTGAAGCAGGAGGCTGAACTAGATGATCTCTTGAGAACGCTTTTAGCCTGAATTATTGTAGATCCTACTGAGGAAAAATGCTCCAATTCATAATATACTTTCCCTAAGGCAAAATATTTCAAGCACAAAAGATACTTAGCTAAAACATGAATTTTGGCTAGTTGTTTATCAGAATGCTGAAAAGATATAATCTATTAGTGCTCCTTTTCCTGCTGTATACAACAATAAAGTTCATATTAACCTTTTGTTAGACCTCTAGTAAAACTAGAGAAGCCAAATGCCTAAAGAAATATTTTCTGCAGCTGATCTCCAAAGTCTAGACAATAATTTGCAATCAATCCATGTGGAAGATAAAAATCTATGGGTATTTATTGGTTTAAAACATGTTAAATAAAAAAAAACAACAACACAAAAAAAAACCAACAACCTGTACCACTATTCAGCTTATCACAGATAAAAAAACTGTTAGAACACCAGATTTCAAGTTGCCACTTTTTTAAAAAAGTGCGCTGGTCCAACATAATTTTCCAATGAAGACACAAATTCTTTGTGAAATTATAAATATGTTACCTGGAGATACTTCCTCTTTCTGCCTCACAGTATGATCTTTTGTGAATTTAACCCTCTGGTGAGCCCTGATGCAGGTCTTGCACAACCATTCTACACATTCCACACAAAACCCATGAGCTTCTGCATTGTCTTCACAGCTTGTGCAGACCTGACAAGAGGAAGAAAGGCAGCTGTTAAAATAAGTTTGGAATATATACACAAGTTATTCTTCATACATCATCATCAGTGCTGTTTAATAGTCTTCTAAAAACAGTGAAATGAGAACAGAAAACTGCCTGAGGTACAGGAGCATTATAAATCACAGCACAGAAGTAACTGAATGTGACTTTTCAAAGAAACTAGTCATTTTGTCAGTATTACCCTAAAATCTTTGCCCGACATGATAAAGGTCAGACTCCTACTTTCTGCCATTCCCTGCACACTTAGAAGCCAAACAATGTTTACTGTATATAAGATGCTGTTGTGAAATATTTACTAATGACAGCACACAAGCAGCACTTCTCTGATTTTAGAAGCCTCCCTCAGTTCACACAGCAGCTTTAATTTTAGCTTCCAGTCACCTGCTTGGTTTCAGGAAGAACACACCATACTGAGCAGCAAGGTTCCTTTCAAGAATCTTAGCACCACCTCTTAAAGACAGTATTCCAGTTAAGCTTGTAAAAAAAGCTACCCCAGAACAGATTTGCAAGCAATGCACAAGAATTTTCAAACTGTGGCCTGTTAACTCCTGGGGCTCTTTGGACTACACCCAACAGACCTAGGAAAAATAAATAATTAAGGAAAACAAACATGTCAGCAGACCTAAGCCTCACTACACAGAGTAAATACACAAGAACAAACCTGCTGCAGTACCACAATCTGAACAACAGGCTGAAAACTTTGAATGATGGACAACACCATTTCACACACTCATAATGTCACTTCATTTTTACCCCTCCTTTACAATGCCTCTGTAGTCCTACCTTCAGTGGGGTTTTGGTAGTAAAAAATAGTGAACATGCTTATCTAGTGCCGGTTTAGGTAACTACCACCCATTTCTGGCAATGTTCAGCACTGCTGCAAACCAAAGACTCAAGGTCTCTGAAGATTGCTACATCCTACAGATCACAGTGACAGATTTCTGCTTGCAGGAGCAACAAGGAGAAAAATTTAGGTTTTAGTTTTGTTTTCGCTTTGATTAAAAAAACTCAACCAAACGACTTCTGCACCCACACAAGGTAAATATAGATTAAATTAAAGAGGAAGGAAATATTTATATCTCATGGAGATAGAAGATAATATACATAGAACTGTGTTCCAGTTTCCCCTTCAGGAAATAAAGGAAAATTAGCACAAAACTTGCCTTAGGCCAGATAACAAGTTACTGAGAGAACTGGAATTTGGACATGAGTTCCAGATACCCAATGCTGTGCTTATTTTTCTAGATCATGTTACCTCTCAAAGCAAGTATCTTCTGAGAAATGAAGTTACAACACAAGGGCTGTTGACCCCTCTTGTTGTCACTTGGAGTTTGAAGGAAGCAGTTTCTTTTCATTTAAGGTGACCTGCGAAGGAGAAAAAATTGGGCTTGTGCCCCTCTTTCTGTTTCTTTACAAAAATGAGACCTGAAAGTTTTCTTTTTCAAAATAATCTCAAAAATTTAACTTCTCCTTGGTTTTTCTTCTTCTTCCCCTTCTTCTCTTAACAAAAAAATTTCTTATTTCTATCCCGACCAGTAGTCTAGTGAAAAATACCAAAGTCAGGACATCATTAAAGAAGTCTAGAAAATTGAAATAAAGCAATTAAAGGAAGTGAACTGTAATCAGGAAATTGAAAATTTTTATTTCCTGTCTTGATTTCAGGGGGAACAGAGTGGGGGTTTTCCTTAGTAGCTGGCACAGTGCCATGGTTTCAGATTTAGTACAAAAATTATATTGATGGCAACAACCAGCACATCAGTTTGTTAGGCAGTGCTTACACAAATTCAAGGAGTTTTTAGCTTCCCATGCTCCCTGCCAGTCAGCACACGCACAAGGAGGGAATGTGGCCAGGACAGCTGACCTGAACTTCCCACAGGAATATTCCTTACCACAGAATATCAAGCTCAGCATATAAGCTCTGGGGAGTTGGGTGGGAGGCACAAATCTCTCTCTGTTCAGGGAAAGGCTGGGCATCGGTCAGTGGGTGGTGAGCAAATTTATTTGGCATCACTTGTTTGTCTTGGGCTTTATTCTTCCCTCCCTCTCTCTCTGTCGTTACTACTATTATTATAATTATTTAATATTACTTTGTTTCATTTATTAAGCTGTTCTTAGCTCAACCTACAGGTTTATCTTTTTTTTTTCCCCCTGATTCTCCTCCCCATCCCACTGCACGTCAGGAGGAAATAAACTGAAAGGGGGAAGTAAAAAAGGCTGCATGGTGCTTGCTTACGAGCTGGGGTTAAAACTAACACTTGTTACTAATCCTTAAATTCAATGACATTTTGAAAAACAAACAAACAAAAAAATTTAAAACTGTTATTAATTGTTGGAGGAAAAAATCCTCTGCCTCCTTTCTCTTTAGCCATCTGTCTCCTCCTTTTTGTGCCAGTGCAACCCTCTGCAAGACTGTGATGCAAACCAGGACTGATAACACCATCATAGCCCAAGGCTCAGTTACATCAGCAATGCTGACTGGAGAGTGAACTGAATAGGCAGCACAACAAAGTTTTCACATCAACCTTGTGGCCAGAGAGGTGTGATTGTGCTGTGCCTCCAAACACCCATGTTTTTAAAAGTTTTTAAAAGTCAGAGTGGAGAGTAGCATACTGGATGTTTGGTTTTCTAGTGTTAAAAAAAAAAAAATCCCTAAAAACAAAATAAGCAGAGAAAAAGAACAAAAAAAAAATCTTTCAGGCATTATTCTCTAAGTCAAAGAAGCAAAACAAAGACTAAAAAAAGAGGCAGAAACCAAATTAAAAGCAAAACCAACCAACCAATCTCCCCACAACAGCCTTTCCAGATCACCTTTAGCAAAATCAGGCAGATGAACATGCCAGGACATTTAGATAAGTTCAAAGAATGTTTGCAGTTATTAATTCTCCCTAGATTCCAAGAGCTTAATCTATTTCTTTTCCCATATGCTTTAGTTGGGTTTTTTACACTGCTTTGACCTGCTGTATGTGGACCGAGATGAAAATTGTGATTCAATAACCAATAATCAGGTACTGCCAAAATAATCAAAACTCCTCCTTTGTAGCATCAAAATATATATCCCATCTTTATACTCTTCAAATCCACTAAGTGGACATGAGACAGATTTCTAAAGCTTTTCACAGACATCAGAACTCAAGCTGTCAAAACAGCAATGCCTTCTAGGTAGCATCAGATTTCCTCCCATCCACTTCTGATTTGAAATATGCATTTTCAGATATATGTTGGATTTCGCTAGAACTCCTAGTTATTAGAGTAAGCTATACAGCTAAAGCACATGGAAGTATAAGTACTGCAAATATTTGTTATGCACTTAAAAAACCTAAAACTCATTCTTATTTTTGTGACTCACACAAGCAATGTTTCAGTGATTTCAAAGAAAACTCTCTCTAGTTAACCTATAAGCCTTTATTCTGTTCAGACAGACATTTATTTTTAATTGAGTTTTCGTTGTAATTACATTTAATTCAGTTATGAATGCTAGTATTTATAACCCCAGGAAGTGTTCATTCAGCCTTCAGTCAAATTTAATGAAAGCAGAAATTACTCAGCATGTTGCAGGTAAGTACTATTTTAAGAAAATACACAAGCTTTTATGGCAGAAAAAGCACATTTGCTTGCAAGACTTGAGGTAATAGACCTGTCTTCTCAGCTCCTGTAGTAAGTAACCACTCTTCCAATTAAACACACTTTGAGTATTAAAGAGATTAAATAATCAAGCAGAGGTTTCAAAGAAGAGAGCAAAGTAGTCCAGATGAATATTCAGTGAACTCTAAGCCTCACCAATGTAAATTAGATGCAATGCTTTCCCCCACTGGATCCAAACCTCACTGATGCTAATACTTACACAACTATCTCCTGGCACATATGGAATCATTGAAGACAGAGACTATACATAATTCCAAATATGAACCATGCATTGACAGCTCAAAATGCATGAAATCTGAGCAATATATCCTTCTTACCCCACCATCCCATCAATATTCACATCTCTTCAAAGCATTTTATTTATTATTCCTATTACCCACCTCCATAAACCATAGGCTTTCAGAGATGTTTTGGTCACAAGTACAGCTTTTATAAGCTGTTTAAGTGTAATAAAACAGTGTAATAAAACACATAATGCTTTATTATGCTTAAACATACAAAGCACCATACATAGAAACTTATTGTTATAAATTCTCCTTATTAATCACTTCATAATGGCAGACTTGCTTTCCTAATACCTGGATCTTGTATCAGATCTAAGCTGATGCCTTGTTTTGTTACTACATTCCCAGTATCTCACATAAAACCCAGCCATTCTTCATTCCTAGTGCAATATATTAAACTCTCAGGTCAGTAACTGGTAAGGAAAGTTATTCTTACAATTAAAAATATTTTTACATACATTCTGTTTTGGACACAGAAGCTATGAGAATTAGAACCTAGACTAAAATGCACCAGAGGCTCAGTGTGCTGCACCAACACCCATATTATCACTAAGGTCTTCGCTCTTGCATCAGTCTCACATCTCTCATTTTTATTTTCATGCCTTTGCATATGCCATGTTCTTATCAAGTCCCTACATTTCCCTCACTTGTCTACCCTTCAGTCTTATTCAAATCTAGCACTTGCTTCAGCAACATCTCTTAGGTCTGAAGCCCCTTTCCCCTCATTCTTATGAATGAAATATAATTAATTTTTATCCTCAAACTTCTCTTTAGAAGCTGATAATTTTACTAAGCTTTTTAATAAATCACAATGTCAAAAAAAAAAAAAACCAATCATAAAGCATCTGCTCTTTCAAAGTATTTATGTCCTAGCTGCCCACAACCTACAACAATTACTTTCAGGAAGATCTCAACTCCATTTCCTGTGAGTTTCTTTTCTTTTGCAAGGTTTCCTATGCCAATAGCCAGCACAAAACCTTTCATGCTACCCAGGAAAGCTCTTGTGGAACACGTACTAGGAAGTTTGAGTTCTGTACTTTCTGTATAGCCATTTCTTGTGCTCCTGAAGTTTTCAGCAGTAATTGCTAGAAAGCACAGCTATGCCAGTAGTGCACTGAACTGCCCAAATCAGGCACAGGTAAGATAAACATGATTATAGACAGATGGACAGCACTTTCATGGGTTCCAGTTATTCTTCTCTTCCCACAATGCCAGGCTCCATGATATACCATTCACTCCTGCAGTTTTAATTCAGTATGCTAAAAATTGCTTTAGCATTAGTGCCATTTTGAATTTGAAACAATCAAACATTTCATTTGCAAGAAGGCTTTTGCAGTCTCTTTTGGATTGAAATAAAACAGTCCTTCCTGCCAACACACATATAAGGCTAATCACAGATACAGACTGGTGGTTCTAAGCCACAACAATATTTGCACAAAACCCATGCCTTGCTTCCAATTCTAATTTGTTAATCCTTCAAATAAAGCTGCAAAACTGTTGAAGACAAATCAACTATCTCAGTAGAAAAAATCCTATCAAAGAGATATAGTTTTGCATAGAATTTGGATGATCTCTGATGCAGTATTTCCTGCAAGTGTCAGTATCTTCTCTACTTTAATTTCTCTGATCTGTTGCCTATGCTAATGGCAAATTTTCTTCCTTTTCTCTTTGCTCCTTCAAAGGCAAAACAAGACAGGCTGATTAGAAGGCTGTATCATCCTTAAATCTCATAATATTCCCCCCTGGAAAGTACACTAATCAGTTTAACTATTATTGATTTAACTTTGCTGTTCCACAATAGAGGCATTTACAGGACAGTGTAGCTTTTTGCTTACATCAAGGTACAAAGGAATGTACAAAATCTTCATTGTCATACCAAAATAAATCTATTCAAATGAAGAAAACAGCACATCATTCACTTCCAAGAGGTAAGACACACACTCAATAGGCATCTAACAAAACATTTAGCTCAATTGTTTTAGAAAAACGTCAGCAAAAAAGCACATGAATGTCCTATTCTGCTGGTTCAGCAAAGTCTGCTGGTCTGCATTCAGCTGCTACAGAAAGTGTGCTGAGTTCAGCCAAGGACCTTAGCTGAAGAACAGATTTGCTTCCAAAGTGCAAACCTGCTGGTTGGTGTCAGGGAGAGGGAGAAACAAATATGGAATGGAAGAGTAAGAGTGAAATCTAGAAGGGATCTGAAGGAAACAGAAATGCTTTCGAGAACCTCCCTGACATCTGCTCACACCACTCAGTGAATGGAATTCTCCACTTAACTTTCACAGGAAGCAAAAAAATATTGTGAGGGGGAAGAGAGGGTGATCAGAGACTTTAAAAAAAAATAGTTACTACTCCCAAGGGAAAAAAAAAATTCCATCTCTATCACCACTCCAAAAAGCAGTACATTTGAGGACTTATTATATAACTAAGCAGAGGCTATAGGACAGCCCCACCCCCTCAAAAAACCCCCCAAACATTTAGGACTGCTTCTGCATAACATTTGCTATCTTGCTTCTCTTCATAATTTTAAAGTCACTACAAAAGTTGTGATCGAATTTTCAGCAGGTTCCACTCATTTTGTCAATCTTACTGGTACAGTATTGAGAGACTGTAAATCTCACAACCATCTGCAAAACTCAGCTATTTTCCTGCAATTCCCAGAGGACAAACAAAAACCAAACATTTCCCCTTGCCAAACCCAAAAGAAGCCAAGTTTAAAGAGTCCTACATTGCAAGAATACAGCTTGTACTTCCAGCAACTCACAATTCAATTTCTGGTAAGGTCTACCATTTCTCAGAAATCCAGTTTCAAAATTCCTTAAAATCTGAACAGTTTAATGGCTTGCAAGACACAAGTTCTCTTGCTCAGAGATGATGACACCACTTATGTCCTCAACAACCAGAGTTGGTATCATGAACCTGACTGGCTCCTGTCATCTGTTCCCAAGTGATGTGGCTGTTCCCCCATGCAAGCACAAATTCCAGCTAAGCCTTGAAAGGAGCAGAATGCACAATAAAGAACCTCTAAGACACTGCCCCTGAAGCAAACAGCTCAAGAGCCAATGATGTAGTACCCCCTAAAATGGGAAAATGAAAAAGAGGAATTTTCAAAATTAAAGGAGACCACCATCCAAATATCAGGGCATGAGTTGGAATACAAGCCACATTGATATAGCAACCTTACTGTACTATTCTTATGAAGAATGCAGCAACATACAAAGAGGCTGAATTATTTGCAATAAGTTCCTGGAGTTTAATAAAAAGTCCATGAGAAAAGAGATGCATGAGATACTCCTTTACCAGCTTAAAATGAAGACATGCAATATTTTGCTAACAGAGATTGTTCAATTGTGATCCTACACAGATGTGACCATTTGTTTGGTATTGCTTCCACACTAACTGCTACTTGCCTCCTGAAAAAAACATCATGAGAAAAAAAAACCCCAATATTACTGTTCTTCCAGATAAGCAACTTTTATGAAATGGCTATTACTTGACTGCAAAAGGAAGAGAGAGTCTACATAAGGAAAACAGACAAGAAACCCCTACAATATCCCATCCTCCCCAATGAGCATGTTGGGCCTCTTCCTTGCCAACAGGACTCCAGCTATTTACTGACATGCTTTGTCAGTAATGTGATAAAGTCCATTTAGATCTCCTGGTGTAGTGTTTTCAAGTCTTTGCTCCAAAGAGTGCTTCAAGTACTCTGTCCAATGTACAGGAATTCCCATTCTAATGCCTGTTCCTTACTTTTATCTTTTGCTATTAAGATGCAAGTTTATATCAAAAATTAAAAATAGTGTAGGGTAACATAACCACCTTCTTCACAGGTATTTTCATACATTTTAACTCATTTTCTAGAGTAGCTATCCATGTGATGTCTAAGTACTTGAAGTTCTGTCTGCATATGAAGAGCAAAAAGGCCACACAGCAAGAAGCCACGGATATGCACACACATCTAAAAGGTGTTAACTTGATTATATGTTAATGCACTTACCTGATTTGATTTCTCTACTGTGCTACTGGGAACCTCTGTGGTATCCTTCACAAAAAAGTTATCTATGATGTGTCTCTCTGCACATTCCTGACCACAAATTGGACAGCGGATAACACCGACTGGGGGGAGAAAAGAAAATCTGATTATGCTTGCACAAACTAAGATATATTAAACAACTTCAAAGACAACTTGCAAGGATAAATATTTTTGAAAGGATGTTATACTACTTTCCTGTCAATAAAGTATGAGCAAGAAAAAGCAAATTCTCATTTATCACTGAAGTAACTTTTACTTGTTCTTCCCTGATCACATATTCTATCACCCAAGGTCAAACACCTTCTTGTTTCAATGCCATAAGGAATTTGCCTTAATCTTATAAAGAAATAATTCTTTTACTATAAAGGGAACATATTCCCATTGACAATTTGTTGCTATAGAATAGATTAAAGTAAACACTTATTAGTGTGGAATATTAATAAAAGACACTGAGTGGTATTACATACACACACACATACATGGCTGCAATGTGATGTGACTGACCTTGATCCATATCACATGGGAACACAAATGTAGAGAACACTCAAATTTAATGAGGTGACTTGTAGAGAAGAAGAATTGAGCTGTATTAATATCATTACTACCTTCACAATAAACAAGGGAAAGCAGTAAAAACTTAGGAATAAATAAGCAGGGCTCCCTCCCTCCTCTCCTCTCCAAGATGCAATGGGGTACAATTCTAAGACAGAAACATAGTCAGGCTCCAGGTTGAATAAAGCTGAGAACCAGTAACACAAAGGGTTAAGCAATTAGTCTTTTCAACAGAATGTAAAGGACAAGTAAAGTCCAAAACTTGGGGTTGAGCTGTGAGTAGACTAGGTGAAATGGAAAAGATCTATATAGACATTTTTTAAGCAGACACCTTTTCTAGCTGCAGAAGATTAGAATGTCCTATTAGCACTAAGGCTTGTTTTTAACATCCAAGAAAAATCTCTAAAATGCTAGGCACTGACATCTTGCTTGAAGAAAATTACTGTAGTCATTACAAGCAAAAAAGGAAGCAATTGAAACCAACTTAGCCTGAAGTAATCACTTAGGACATGGAAGTCACATGCAAAAAGCCTACAGTAGAACAGTCATGAAAGTTACACTGACATATATTCTAGACCTTCAGCTCCCATTTGAGAGGAAACATAAATTTAGCCTGAAAAAAGATTTGCTTACCCTGTTTAACCCAATGAATTCAACACCAGTATATAACTCACCACTAGCATATTTAACTAAACCAGCGTGGGTTTATAGCTGTTCCTGTTTCATTTTTACAATAAAATGTAAAAGTACAGAAACCATTAAATATTTCACTTTCTGCAGAAGAACTTAATTCCTTACTCTAATTACTTTATACAAGATTTAGGTAACATTTTCATAAGATTCTTCCAACAGATGCTCAAGACTTAGCAGGCAACTCAGTATAAAAGCAGTGCTCAGTATAAAAGCCCAGCCGTTTTACTAAAGCATTTCTTCATTCTGGAAAATCAGCAAGCACTTTTTCACTTGTTAGCAAAGCATTTCACTTTCATCTGAACAGCTATGATGTTAAGCTTGATTTTACTCTAAGTGCCATTTTACCAGTCTGCATTTCAATATACATTTGTGCAGCTTCCTTTGATATACAAATTCCAATTTTTTTGGCTGCAACTTTTGTAACATTTTTTATATCATCATCTGCAAGGATAATTGAGAAAATTCAGTTCTGGTAAGTCAAGTAGCTAGCAGAACTTCAAGTACTGAACTTCTCCTGTAATTAAGCAAATCAATTTACCACAGTCAAGAGTGAACACATCTCCTAATACTCAAGCTACACACTTTCCAAGAAAGACTGTTTTTTACATTTTTCAAGAGCACCAATTACAAACTGCCCTCGCCTTTGTTCCCTCACTGCTCATTCTTGACCCTGACAAAGCACAGTGCTCTGGGTTGAAACCAAAATCAGGAAACAAGGAAAATTTCTAACACAAATTGAAGTACTGAAAAGCAGACATTCTTTATTACAGCACACTGAACACACTGATGCACTCTGATGTGCTGCAAAACTTTACAAAAATGATATTTGTTCCATCATGATCATAAATATTGTTTACAGTGTACTTCCTGGCTAATACATACACATCACTTTTTCTAGAATTAATTTGCATGCATCCACCTCTTATTAAGAGTAGTCCTTTCATGTTCCTACAGGGTCTTCTTGCTATAAATGGATGTGATTCACGCCAATAAAATTGTAATTGTATCAATAATTTGGGAAAATAATTGGAAAAGTATGTGCGATTAGTGTTATGAAGCAGATGGGTTTCTTCACAAAGGATACATGTGGGAAACAGGGTGCAGGATTTGGATTTGACCTTGGGAATGGACGAAGTCAGAAACTGACTCCCAAACCAAAATTGGCACCAATTGAAGTTAAGACAACTCCCAGAGCAAGATCAATCTTGAATATGAATAAAGTTGGGACCATTCCAGATAGGGAGTCTAAAATATTGGTTTTGGTTTATCTATGAAATAAATAAATAAGGTTTAATTGGAACATCGTGCTTACTTATATAACACCAAACTTAGTTTGCATGTGCCACCTGCCAGGTTATCCAGAGGACGTGTGAGGAAGACCTCACCTCCAGCCTTCCTCTAAGGATAGCCCAAAGAGACCAGAAGACCCCATAGCAACAAAGGCAGCACGCGCTGTACAGTAGGGTGACACAGATTTGAAGAATTAAAAATGGGAGATTTGTGGGAACTATTGATGAATATATATTAACACACAGTATGTAAGTTGTGTTTGGCTCCTTTTGCATTTGTACAGGAGGCAGGGTGAGAATCCCTCCCAGTACCCTGGTCTGTTTTGCTTATGTGTTATCCGAACTAATGCCAAATTTCTTTTTATAACTACTTGATTATATTTTATTGTATTATTATTTTATACCTCAAAATTGCTGCTAAATTTTAATCTTGTGGTTTATTGAATGGGACATATAGAGACCTCATTCATAATGCTCTGAAGGGGTCTCTGGTGATTGCGTTCCCTGACAGTCCCCAGTGTTACAGGTGACCTTTCCCTGAATTTCTCTTAAGGCATGCACTGTTGCCTCTTGTTACATAGCTACCACAAAACCCATTGTTTTCCTCATTATCTGTTTATCCATTGGTTCCAGCTACACAAAGAACCCTGTGTGTCTACTTAATCCACTTCTTTAAAACACATTATTCCCTTACTTGGACAAGTAAGGCATCATTATGTTCTGTTCCTTTTATCAAGGTCAACACGGGTGTCTGAGTCGGTCTCTGCATGTCTTTGGGAGATGGGTATAGACACACAATGAGACTGGCAAACCGATTCGCACATGGATGTATTTTTCCTGCTCTCCCAAGCTTTACTTTCATCCCTTGCTCTGCTTCACTGACCACATGCACTACTGAGTAAAGTGAAACAACATGAGAAGCAGCACAAGGATGGGAAGAGGACACCACTGAAGATTAAACCTGGGGCTATTGAACCAGATCAGTAGCATTAACCAGAGTTTGTAACTCAGCTTGAGTTGAAAATATGGAAGACAGGGAAGGGGAGGCAAGAAATTAGGAAACATACCAAAACAAACCAAATAATTCATGTGCCTTTTCACCAACAGAATATTGCCAACCACCTGTTCAAAAGATCACTTAGAATTTCTAATGTGAGATGGGGAAAAAAAGGGCAAATTGCCTACCACTCTCAAAATCTTGGTGAATTTTCTTTTCTATAATTCCTCATGTTGTCTCACCTTGTGTCAGGGGTTTCTTCTGCCACTGTGTGAAGGGTAAACTTGTTTTTGTTATAATCCTAGATTGATGACTGCTACACAAATCTGTTTTAACCCAGATTTAGTCAACCTCAGGATGGTGAATTTAAGCAAAAGATCTCAAGTATCAGGGTTTCTATTCATCAAAGTAATTCTGTAAGATTCTCCTTAATGGAGCAAACACAGGAAGGTGAAAACATATGACTTAAATTGGGAGGAGATTCATAATCATCATAATGTTAATTGTGAGGACAGTGAATGAGCAGATCCCACATTTTTATCTGGTCCTTTTTTCCAGTTGTAAGGAGTTAAAGAACACAGTTGCCTGTCTTAAACACTGTTACAGCCACAGGTTGACTTTGCCATGAGATAAGCACAGAATGGAGTGACAGGATAGCGCTCATCTCCTGGCCTGGCAGAGATGAGACCTGCTTAGCCCATTCTGGGTAATGCATGCAGACAAAAATTCCCACTGTGGAAACGTGTGTAAAGAAGCATCTGCTTGTATGCATGTCACTGGTCAAACAAAGATCACCCCAACTTCTGGGTCAGCTGAAATCTGTGACCACAGAAACTACCTGAAAACGCCTCCCTGGATACCTGGAACTTGGACCTAAAGCAAGCCACCAGAGCAGGAACAAGATAAGATAAAAGGGGTGCTATTGTCTGAGTGTTATCTCGGATCTGGGGGGAGGTTAACTAAGCTGGGGGAGAAGAATGTGTCACTGATAATGGACACTACTGCAGAATTTATGGGCCACAAGAAAGGCCAGCTCAGCAACTGTGGACTTGGTAAAACGTCATTCCAGCAGGGGTAGATGGATCACCAAAACCAAACAAAGAGGAGACTGAGTACAAGGACTAATTAGCATTAGAAGCAAGGGAATCAATTAACCAACAGAATAGCTGTGTAGCCAATGTGCAGTAATTTGTTTCTTTGCTAATATGTATGAATAGTGAAAAGACCTGGAGAAGACCACTACTGAGAAGCCTAGGGTGAGGAAGGATGAAAAGGATCTACAGGTGGTAACTATCTTCTACCTGATCTCTCTCTTTTCTATTTCTTTCTACCTTTCTCCCTGACATTCCATGTTAAATAAAATCTGTAGTATTGACTTCAGCATATGATCTTGTTTGAACCTGAACTTGGGCAGAGGCACATGTCAAAAGCTGGATCTTAGCATCAGGAGCATTGTTTTTTTCAGCTGTAAAGGGAGCTGGATCAAGCACATGTGGCTCTTAAGTAGGAGGAGAAAAAAAGAAGACCTCCACCCTTCTGAGCAGCACTCTTA